ATATCGCTGCACTGTGACAAGTCTCTCGCGCGCCTCAACTCTCGTCCCAGGGTCATGTACACTCTTGAGCTGCCGTGGTCCGCCGACAAGGTAGGTAGGTATCTAACCACACCACACCACACGACACCACACAGGGCGGGGAAAGGGAAGGAGAGAGGCCATTACACGTGTGTTTGTGTGTGTGTGTGTGTGTGTGTGTTATATGCTATGCAGGCTGTTCAGCAGTTCGGGCGCATTCACCGCTCGAACCAGCTGCACTGCCCCCGGTTCAACCTCGTCGTGACGGACATGGGCAGCGAGCTGCGCTTCACCTCCACAGTCGCGCGGCGCATGAAGATGCTCGGTCAACCAGCGAAGGAGGAGAACGAACACCGAACCACTGCACCCATGGCACACTGCGCGTGTGTGTCATCTGACTGTCTGTCTGCAACCAGGTGCGCTGACCCATGGAGATCGGCGTGCGACTATGGGGGAGGCCGAGATGGCCACTCTGCAGGACTGCGACGCACAGGTGCGTCGCAGTGGGGGAGGGATCTCTCTCTGCTCGCGGCTATGTGTGTGTGTGTGTGTGTGTGTAGCGCAAGGAGGGCAAGGAAGCGCTGGCGCAGCTGTACAATCTCATCACACGGGCCAAAGATGAGGTCAGTGAGTGTGAGTGGCTGCGGGTGGGGGGATGTTCCTCGCACACACGCCCACCGACTTGCATCATCCTGCGGTTCGGTTCTCTTTGTGTTGTGTCTATGTGTGTGTGTGTGTGGCAGAGTGAGTCGTTTGCCGAGCAGATGGACCTATCATTCGTAATTAGGCCACCGACCGACCGACCCACTCACTACTCACCCACCCAACAGCCATGAAACACACGCCCACCCATTCACTCATTCATCAGGTGCGTGAGGGACAGCGTGATGATATCGATGACAATGCATCCGACTCCGGACAGTCCGACAAAGGACAGCACCAGCAGCACCAGCAGCACCAGCAGCGGCAGCAGGGGGGTGGGGGTGAGGGTGAAGGTGCAGAGGGCGACATGATGGAGAACGACCAGGCAGACGACGACGACCACACCACACCCACCTACCTCAAGTCACCCCCCCACACACCCCCACCCCACACACACACGCAGATGGATGGATGGATGTGTGTATGTGTGTGTGCAGGCATTTCGATTCGTTCAAGGAGTTCGCGACCGAGTCGCACAAGGAGATGACCCTCCTCGGCATCAAAATGTGCACGGAGGTACCACACACACACACACACAGACGCCTCTGCAGTGGTGGCTGCTGTGTGTGGATGTCACGGCAGAGAGACGAGCATGGCAACAGGCTCAAGTCGACGGACATCAGGACGTAGGCAACACGGACACACACAAGTACACGACATGTAGATGTGCACGGCAGCGATGGATGCACTTGTGTGTCTGTCTGTATGTGTCTGTCTTTCAGGTTCCTGAATCGTCTGCTGATGATGCAGCCACACATCCAGAACAGCCTCCACGAGTGGCTCATGTGTAGGCGCCACCCAACAGACTCATCCGTGTGTGAGTGCTGTGAATCAATCGTCAGTTCTGATCGCCGAGCAGGAGAGCATCGGCAAGAGCAGCGACAAGGACGCCATCACCGACCTCAACCGCACTTTCAGGGGCGCCGCACACGGCAGCCAAACCGTCACCTTCACGCGCCACGAAGTCATCGCCACGGACCCACACACAAATGCACAGACGGTAGGCACACACAAGCCAGCCACACACACGGGGAGAGAGAGATACCGCGGACGACGGCACTCACAAATGTCTTTGTGTGTGTGTGCGTGTGTGTGTGTGTGTGTGTGAGCAGCTGTATACCAAGGTGGTGGTTGACAGGGGGCTGCCGTGGGCGTCTGCCAGGGATCTCTATGCGGGCACACGCAAGAGCAAAGATCGGTTTGGCAGGAGGAGGGACCCACACAAGAAAGACAGACCAGAGGTACATTGAACAGCCAGCCTCTCACCCCTGTCAACTCCCGACACACACACATGTGTCTGTTGTCTGTTGCTTACGGTCCAGGGCTTCTACTGGTGGTCACCACAAGGGTCCAATCGCGCGCTGCCCATCCTGGTCATTCAGAAGCGCGAGACCATCGCAGCGGTATGCATGTTTGTTTACACCACTCCCTCACACACACAAACACGTAGGAAGGCACCACGTGGTGTGCTGTGCTGTGTGTGGTTTTGGGTGCAGGAGAGGCGCTTTGTGGTGTACCGGCCGAGTGTGGGTGCGAGTGCGGAGCTGGGCAAACACAAGCTCGTGACGCTCAAGGCGCTGCAGGAGCTCACTGACGCCAATACGCTACAGGTACCCACACAAACACAGACACAGAGCACACAGCTCGCACAGAGGCATACGCATGTTGTCGTGTGTGTGTGTGTGTGCCAGAAAGTAGCTGTGACCAAGGTTGGTGGTGTCGATGACCTCAGCCGCATTGAACAACCGTATGCAGGCAGTGCACATCATTCCAGCCAGCACAACAAGGAAGCGACGTGTGTGTGTGTGTGTGTGTCTGTCCTCCCTCGGTGATGCATCAACCAGGTGGACTGAGTGGTATGACCGGACCAAGCACTTCTGCCACCACATGTGAGTGTGAGCCTGAGTGACCAAGCTGATCCATCCATCCATATCCATCACCGCGGACGACGTGTGTGTACCATGATACATCCTCTGTGTGTGGCATGTTTTGATGGATATGGATGCAGCCAGTACAGCAGCACCGTCCCCCAAGACAAGCTCAACGCCAAGGGACAGCACGTCCTGGGGTCAGCCAACCAAACAACCACACACACACCCTTAACCCACCCCACTGATCCATCCACCTCTGCGTGTCAGTGACGGCAGTGTGTGTCGGTCCGGCATGCGCAAGATGGAGGCCCACATCATCAGCGGCAATGTCCTCCACTCGTTCGGGTTCCTCGACAGACACTTCAAGGCCGACAAGAAACAAACCAACGACACCAAGGTTGGTACCCCACACACACCATCCACCACCAAGCCACTGCACACTGTCGTCCTTCCCTGGTTGTCTTGTCGTCAGGGTGGTCGCAATGCGGCAGTGGATGACGAGCAGCAAGAGGAGGGCGATGGCGGCGAGGTGACGTTCTTCAAGACCAAGGGCAGCAGCAGCAGCAAGGCCAATAGCGACGGTCGGTGAGGAGAGGAGGCGCTTTGCTCCCCCATCCCTCATGTCTGTATGTCTGTTGGGTGTTGCTGTCTGCGTGCAGGTCAGCTGCAGATCTCACGAGCCACCGCAAGTGCCGGGAGACATGCAGGTGAGCCCTGACGGACACACAATGGCAGAAATCTGTCTGTGTGTCTATGTGTGTGTTAAGGCAAGTCGATAGTGGGCGTGGAGGTGGAGCCATGCCAGGTGGACGATGTCGTCACGATGGTCGGCATCATCGAGAACCACGGGATATTCACAGCACACGACCCAGCCACCACAAAGGATGATGATGCAGATGGTACACACACACACACACACACCTCTTCTCTCGTGCCCATGTCTGTCTGTCTGTCTGTGTGTGTAGATGTGGAGAAGATGGCCGAGTACGCCGAGAGAATGTTGGCTGTGCTTGCGAGCGCCAAGGACCATCCCCGTCGCCAGCTCACATCCATCGTCAAGGCAAGCCGCCAACCACACCACACCACCATTGATACGTGTCTGTGCATGTGTGTGTGTGTGTGTGTGTATGCAAGTCATCAGCTACTCCATCGACATCGGCCTCCTCCTCCCTCCCACAGCCACCTCTCTCCTCCGCGCACACAAGGCCCTCCGCGCCCTCCTCGCCCACCAGATCATCGCCATCGATGAGACCAGCGGCACCACCGTCCACAAACCTTCTGCAGACGTGCGCCGCCTCTTCCAGACGGGCAATAGTGATGGGGCTGACGGCGGTGGTGGCGGGGTGAGGATGCCCCCCAAAGACCTCAGGGCCACTGGTAGGTAAGGAGGGGTGGGATCCGGCGGGCTGAGGGGGGCAGAGTAAACACATGCTGTGGGTGCACTGGTTGGCGGTGTGTCAGTGCTGTTTGCTGACATGCAGTTGTGAGACTGGCCCGAGCGCTTGTCCAGCACCTGAAGGCGCCCGCGTGTCGGGGGAAGATCGACAACCACAATGTGTGCATGTACCGGAATATGACCAGCAACGAGGAGGTGATGCACACACACACACACCGGGGGGACCCACCTGTCTGTCTGTCGTCGTGTGTGGGTTTGCTGAATGAATGAACTAACGCAGATTTGTCACCTCCTGCACGGTGAGAGCTTCGTCCCCCCGCTGCATGGGTGCCTCGCCACCATCCAATACGTCGTGGAGGGTATCGTACGCACCGCATCATGCCCACAGAACCACGTCAAATGCACGGATGTCTTTATCTATGTCTCCTCCATCTCTGTGGCGTGTAGGTCTGGAGTTTCACGACATCATCCTTGCCCCAGACGAGACGGAGGGCACTATCCTGCTGAAGCCCCATGTCAATGTGATGCCGCCATTCGGCAGAATATGGGGGGAGCCGAACGTGTAGATTGCTCACTGGATGCAGAGAGGGGCCTAAGGCGTCATGCTCCCGTTTTTGACCTTTATGGGTATGTGGGCGTCCATGCGTGTGTGTTTATATATGGGATCGTGTGTGCGCGCACTTTTGTTCTTCTGTCTGCCTGTCTGTCTGTCTGTCTGTCTGTCTGTGTGGCCTATATGTCGATCTACACTCACTGCAGGTGTCTGTCATCTCGAAAGAGCCGAGTGTGTGTGACAGTGTGTCTGTGTGTGTGTGCATCAGCCAGCCGGCATGTATGTGTGTATCCCTCCGTGTGCATATATAGATAGCTCCTGACGCATGGCATGGGTGGACGATCGATTCATGTGGGTCAGTCAGTCAGTCAGTGAGTGCTCGACTTGGCTGACATGTGATTCACACGCAGCGCTGTGTCGATCAACAATCAATCCTACGTCGTATGTATGTAATATATGTGTATATAGAAGGTCGACGTCGATCACAGACACACACATAGGTACACGCACACTACCCATGTACCAAGAAGGACAAACAGCTGCAGCAACCCTTACACACAAAGGCGTATGTCGCATTCTTTGCCAGAGACCCCTGTTCGGTACTCTTTGAGTATATTCTGATGGACTCGCCTTGGTGTGCTCTATGGCTGATTCATCATTTCAAGGGTCGCCGCGTATGCTTGAAGACGTCCAATGTCTTTGAGCCTGCCAGCACACTTCTCGAGCACAGATACGATCTGCTCGTATGTCTCTCGGGCCAGCAAGGTCCTCTTCTCCAAGACGATGCGGGTGACGCTCAGCAAGTCGTGTAAGCCCAGACTGCAGATACTGGAGCTCATCGAAGGGCTGTAGTAGCACTGCGCGTGGCTCCCGAACGCGGTGTCTCTGATGGCTGCGCACGAGAGCGTGCTGACGTCGGCCGAGACGAGCGCAGACTGCAGGCAGCTCATTGTGTCGAAGAACCACGTCTGTCCCTTTGGTGTGAACGCGTCTGCCTGCGTTCGGAACTTTTCGCAGAAGTAGTTGCCGTATCCGAGCGCATATCCGTCTTGTCCGCACGGCACCGTCTGCTCGACGCACTCGGTGTAATACGCGCACGAGCCACGCTCTGGCGCGCTGCAGTTGCCCGCAGTCGTCACGCTTATCCACGACGCAAGCAGTAGTACGTGACTGAAGACGTGCTTTGACATCTTCTTTGACCGTGGCCGTTAACGTTTACTAGGCTGTACAGCGTGGCTGCCACAAGTAAATTGGTGTGATAATTGACCGATATGATGCGTCGGTTGTGGGTGGCCCTTTTCCTCCTTGCACCCGCTGCCTTCGGAGCAATCGAATTCCTTCTCACTGACAAACAGAACCTTGAACAGAACGAGAGCGGTAAGCCACTCAGTGCTCTCTGTTGACAACGCCCTTCTTGAGCCTTGTCCTTCCCAGCTGACCATGAGGTCTGTATCATCGGCGCGGGACCCAGCGGCGTTGGTGCGGCTCACCACCTTGTGCAGAAAGGCTACTCCAACATCCTACTGCTGGAAAAACTGGACAGAATCGGCGGCAAGTGCAGGGATATCGAGCGAGCGGACAATGCCAACGGCGAATTCGTCAACCGCACCTACAACCTCGGTGCCATCCTCATGCTTCGGGACTACAAAGAGGTCCCTGAGCTCGCCGACATCTACGGTCGCACCTTCGAACTGTTCGCTCTCGGGGTGCCGCAATCTTTCTTCACCGACTTCAACGCCAAGAAGCTGTTCACCCCTTCTCTTCCGCTCACCAACATCGGCAGCCTCCTCGAGCTCAACAGCATCGAGGACCTGCAGGAGATCATTGTGGGCGTCACCAGCATATTGGCGTATGTGGACATCTGGAAAGGTTACGTCGCCATTGATGAGGAGACCGGCGAGCCGGATCCAAAGCGACCTCTCGCCTACGAGCCCACTCTTACATCCATCGACTTCGACCGCTACCCAGAGCTTGCGGATCCGGCCAACAAGTTCATCGCAGACCGCTTCACGGAGCGCGGCCTCGGTCCGGAGCACATCGAGTTCTTCCGGAATGCCCTCTTCGTGGTGGAGGACACCGGCTATCTTTCTGCCGATTTCACTCCGATGGCGTACTGGTTGAGGGGTCTGACGCCGACTTTCATATTTGAGGGTTTGACCGGCACTTTTCAAAGACTAGTGGGAGGCTGTACATCGCTGCTGAAGGCCATAGTGGACACGCTGTCTGCCAAGGGAAAGCTAGAGGTCATGCTCAGTGCGGAAATTGTGAACACTGTGCGGGAGTCCGATCAGCCGTCGCTAATCCAGCTGTCCGACGGCACTGAAAGGACGTGCGACCGGATTATCGTGGCATTTCCTCAGATCACGGCTGACATGAAATTCCTCAGCCTGGACGAGGAGGAGAACGATGTCTTCGGGAAGGTGTACCACGCCCCGTATGTCTCCACACTTGTGGACTTATCATACGAGCACATGCCCAATCCGAAGACCTCCAGGCTATTGGGCAATCTCGATACGTCTGTCCAGCCTCCCGCTCTTCGATCAGTTGTCGGTGCAGGCCACCCAGCGTTGATCGTCGCGATTTACGGTGCAGACCCAGGAGCCGGCCTCATTGTCTACCAGAGTTACGATCGGCAGCAGCACCCCTTCAACGACACGCTGAAGCAGGACAGCGCGCAGATCATGACGGAGATCTTCTTCAACGGGGATTCGAAAGAGTACGAGGCCAACCTGACCGAAGTCAACTTCTGGACCTATGTGAGTTGTCAAGGGAGAGCGACCGCATCACTTGTCCATACTTTGTGTGCTTCCTGCGTGCAGTTTCCCCACGTGAGTGGCGAAGAGCTCCGGGCGGGCTTTTACCAGCGGCTGGAGGCGCTGCAGGGGAACAAGAAGACCTACTGGACAGGCGGGCTGCTCAAGTTCGACATCGTCGATGCTGCCATGGTCTACAGCCGATATCTGGTTGAGACCTACTTCTGACTTTGCAGAACACCGCTCGCCGCTCGCCCGCAGCCAAGGGATGTCAAGCAGCAGCTACCGGTCACTGGCCGTCTCTGTGGCGGGGACACAGTATAGGAGATGAATGAATGGGGACGGGGACGGGGCTGCTGATGGTCTGCGGCTGGTCGGTTGGTTCAGGTTCATGTGGCTGGCTGCTGAGAGAGGGCCCGTTGTCTGCCTGCGTGTGTGCATGTGTGTCTGGATGTATGGCCCCGCTGACTTGCACAGTGACTGATAGCTGGGTGGGTGAGGTCAGGCGGGGCATGCGGCGGTGCGGGCAGTACTATGACGTGGAGCTGCCCATCCCTGATGACGACGATGAGGCACGCCCGGATGGGGGCAGGGGAGTCAGACAGAGTAATTGACTAGCCAGTGAATGACCCGAAAGAGATGGCTGTAGGTGTGTGTGTACATGTGAATGTATTACAATCGCACCTATACATATTTCGAGCTACAGATCGCCGCCTTACCACAATCACAATCAACAGTCCTCGTCTCTCTGTCTCTCTGTCTCTCTGTCTCATCTAGAGAGACGAGATCAATCCATTGGCCAGCCATCGCCAGCGACGTGATCAAGATGCGTTGTGAGACTGCCTCGGGTGTGGCTTTGCTGCTGCTGTTTGTGTGCGGCGGTCTGCTGGCCGGAGAAGGAGAGGCACTCACACCGACCACACACAAAGGCAACAGTCACAATAACCCTCGACAAAATCCACGTCAGCTCATGCGTGTGGATCACCAGCAGACAGACACTCAGAGACGCTGACTCTCTGCTTGTGTGTGTCTCTCTGTGTGTGGCATACAGGCCTTTGTCTTTGTAGGCCGATGAGTTGCGCGAGGCGCTGCGCGACGACCGAGAGGAAGAGGCCCGCACTCGACAGACAATCGTATGAAAGACACACACACAGACACACGCAGACCATCCATCGGTGTCTGTCTGTGATTGTGTGTGTGTTTGTGTAGAGTGGCGTGGCCCGACGCAGAGGAGACCGAACTCACGCACATTTAGTGCCTAGCCAGCCAGCACCGCCCTGCCCTGCATGATCGATGCACGGACGTGCCAGCGACTTGCGTGTGCAGACTTGTTTGTACTTCATGCAATCGTACGGAGACCCTGTGTGTGTGTGCCTTGTATTGTGTTGCTCGCCTTCCTTCAGGCGTTGAAGCCCCTGATGTCGGTCAGCACAGTCACCAACAAGACCACACACCAACCACAAGCAAGGGACACGGCAACCGCACGTGTCAGAAAAAGGATCGTAGACGTGACACACAGGACCACATTGCAATACCCCTTCTCTCAATACTTTTACGTAACCACAATCGATTAATCGATCGTTCTTGGTCGGTGTCTGTCTATCTCATCCATCCATCCATCCATCCGTCCTTCGGCAATCACTCATACATCAGCACACACACATATCGGCAACTGTATGCATGTACCAGGAAAAGACCAACGGATTTGCTGGGCGATCGATGTGGTCTGGTCCCCATCAAATCTTATAGATCACATGTCAATCTTATAGATCACATGTCGAGAAGGTGGGCCGGAGGGCGATGTCGGTGCCACCGACAGACACGCCGGCTTGATGGCCCAGGCGAAGGGAAATAGAGCCACCAGCCCGATAAGGTTGCTCAGTGACGAGATGCCGTGGTACATCCCGAACTTCTTGTTGAGCCGCTGCAGCTCGGTGTTGGCCTTGGCCATCTCCACAGTGGCGGGGTCGTCCTTCATGCTGACCCCGATGCCCAGCTCCCTCTCAATCGCGTGCCTCTCGTACATGGTGGCGGTAGTCTGGGGCTCCAGGTAAACCAGGTTGACGAGAGAGGAGGCCAGCGATAGGCCAGCACAGGTGTGAAGAAGGCGGTTTGACGGCATCAGGGCGGCTGTGGCGATGGTGAGGAGGGACGAGCAGATGGTGGACAGCTGGAAATAAGCGGGAAAGAGCTTGCTTTGCAGCTTGCCGAAGGTGTGACGAGGCACTACAAACACACACAATTAACTCTGCTGCAGTCGTTGCCTTGCCCCAAACCCACTCGTCAGTGTGCAAGGTTGCACTCCGCTCACCAGTGCGGAACATGGTGATGCCACTGACCAGCGAGACCCATACTTGCGAACCGAACAAGACGCCCCAGCTGAAATACACAAACGTACACACAGACATACACACACAGCAGATCTGCCATTTCGTTTCATCCATGTCTGTCTGTCTGCTTGCGAGTGTGCATTGCATTCCAATGCACACACACACCTGAGGCTGAGCAGCGGCGCCAGGCTCTCTCCGATGCCTTTGAGCCGCTGCGGTGCCGCCAGCGCACTCACAGACGCCACACCAAGAGCTGTGGCGATCTGGGAAAGCACGGGCAGCGACGACATCTCACTCAACTAAGCTGACGACCACCAATACAGCGGTTTTTGGAGCACCCGTTTTCTCTGTCTGGCGAGCTGAGAGATGAGCTCGCGAGAGAAGGGAAGAAGAAAGGAGGGAAAGGAGGGAAAGGAAGATGGATGGCGCTGTGGCTCTATCGTCGTACCCGGCAAGATCCGATTATGCATCTCCCGCTGAAGATCACTCGTCGCAGCACCAAGCGCATCGGCACTGGCACGGGATGCAGCGAGGGAACCATCGCAGTGACGCAAGCATGACCACGACTGCATCAGCTGAGGTGTGCAAATGGAGGAGGAACAGGCGAATCAGCATGGTGCCAACCACGCCTTTATTCGGCCTCCTTGCTGGCTTTTTGTCTGTCACTCACGTCAACGCTTTCACCAGTGCCCATTCTCTGCTGAGAAAGTCTGCACCGCGATGGCAGGCATCCATCCATGAAGCCGTCAGATCCACGCGGCCGGAGTCAGTGCAGCGCCCCACAGACCGGCCTCCACGGCGCAGAAGGGAGCACAGAGGGCGGAATGACGTCTACCTGCAAGACGATTCATCATTGGTGGACATGCAGACGGCAGCCGCAACCGAGGCAGATGAGGACGGTGATGAGGCCATTGAGGTGTCAGAGGAGGTGTCAACGAGCTGGTCGGATGCCGCTTCATCCTCGAGTGACGATGAGCTGTTCTTCAGCCGGAAGCAGTTTGCCGACATCGGTGCCAGCGACGAGATGATTGAAGCCATGAGCATCGCAGGGGCCAAACGGCCGTCTAAAATACAGGCAAGGAGTGTCCCCCTAATCGCGTCGCGTGCATGCGACGCATTCTCTTCATGTGCTTGTGTGTGTGCATCACCATCAGGCCTTGTCCTACAGGACGGTGCTGTCAGGCAAGAACTGCGTTGTGGCGGATCAGACGGGCAGCGGCAAGACGCTGGCGTACCTGGCGCCCCTGCTGCAGAGGCTGAGAGACGAAGAGAGGGCGGGCAAGCCGAGAGCACTACCAGGTGAGAGGTGCGTGCGTCACACTCCACTCACCAATCGGATCGGCGGAGAGGTGACAATCTGTCTTTTGGCATGGCACCCCTGTGTGACGTGACTGAGTGCAGGCAGCCCGCGTGTCGTGGTCCTGGCCCCGACAACCGAGCTGGCGTCACAGGTGTCCCGCGTGCTCAAAAAGCTGACAGCGGTCGCACCCGTCAGAACGGCGTGTGTCACTGGTCGGTCAGCAGACACGGAGAGAGTGAGGGCCTATGCATTGCCTTTGCCTCTCTGTCTATCTGTCTGTCTGTCTGTCTGTGTGTGTGCCAGGTGGTTACAATGCGCGCGATCAGATGCGCATGGTGGAGAGGTCTGGCGTAGACATACTCGTGGCCACGCCAGGCAGGCTCAGGAGCATGCTGCAGATGGGCAAGCTCAACCTCCACCAGCTCAGCGCCCTGGTGCTCGACGAGGTGGATGTCCTCTTCCTCGACGACACCTTCCTGCTGCAGCCCATCGGCGAGGCCACCGCCCCCTCCACCCAGTTCGTCTTCGTCACGGCGACCATACCCACATCGGTGTTTGCCCAGATCAAGCAGGAGTTCCCGGACCTCAGGCGCATCATGGGCCCGGGCCTGCACCGCATTGCCCCCGGGGTGGAGGAGGTGCTCGTCGACTGCTCGGGGCCGAAGGATGAGGCCAAGAATGAGTTCACGGCCTTTGAGAGGAAGCGGAAAGCGCTGGCGGGGCAGCTGGACAAGGTGGTGGTGCCGCGGACACTCATCTTCTGCAACTCCATCGAGAACTGCCGGAGGGTGGAAAACGCCCTGAGGCGGCTGGACCGGGGCCGCAAGAGGTTCCAGGTGCTGCCCTACCACTCGGGCATCGACAATGAGCGGCGCCGCGAGATATTCAACGCCTTCACACGGGAAAACTTCCTTATCCCAATGGTCGCTCAGACTCTCAGGCCACCCAGCCAGCCACCCGATGGACGTTAGGGTGTGTGTGTGTTTGATGAATGGATCAGGTGTTGGTGTCGACAGACCAGGCGTCGCGGGGAGTGGACTTCGACCAGGTGGAGGTCGGCCATGTCATCTTGTTTGACTTCCCGCGCGACCCCAGTGAGTATGTTCGACGGGTGGGCAGGACGGCACGGGCAGGACGGTGAGTGAGCATCCACCACACACACACACATATACACACATCCAAACACAGATGGGTGTGTGCGTGTGTGTGTGTCCTATCACTCATTCAATCAGGGCGGGCCGTGTGACGTCTCTCGTGTTGGGCCGCCAGGTGTCGTTGGCACGGGAGCTGATGGAGGTCAACAGGCGGGGCGAGAGGATACATGACGTGCCGAAATGAATAGCCGAGTGACTGAGGGAGGGAGGGAGGCATGATAGCTGAACTGCGTTGTGATGCGCTGCGCTTTTTCTGTTTGCCTTAAATGTCTTATACCGTCAGTCAATCGACACACACACACACCGTTGTCTCGATGCATCAAGCGACCGACCGACCCGCCGACTGACCGAATTCTCAAAACCATCCATCGACGATAAAATGCAAACCCATCCATCCATCCATCAAACCATCCATCGAACTATCAAACCATCCATCTCGTCACATAAGATACAGACAATCTTACAAAGATTAGATAGGTACATCGACACGTGTTGGTTGACCATCTGTCTGTCGGTCGGCGAGAGCAGTGAAGGGCGCGTCCAACACAACAGAGAGAGGAGGGAGGCGGGAGGCGATGCTTCTGCCGGTCCTGTCCGTCCTGCTTGTCACGAACGAATGAACTCGCCACCGCTCAGGTCAGGTCAACAGACGACACCTTGACTTGACACCTCTCTCCTCTCCATAGTCCCTCACACACCATCCATCAAATGAGGATGTTCCAGCCGTGCACCCGCGTCCACCTGCCCACCCACCTGATGGATGAACAGATCATCGCAAACACAACAACACCAACACGACACATGCCGTTCTGTCTCTTCCGACGGCTCGTTCGCTCCACTTGGCTGGCTCCCTCACTTGGCGACGATGCCGATGACGGTGGCGAGCAGCCAGGTGCCCCCGATGTCCAGCAAGACCAACAGGGTCATCAAGTGGCGAAACTGACACACACGCCATTTGAAATGCGCCCATACACAGAGAGACAGAGGGAGGGAGAATACACCCATTCACGCAGTTAACCAATGGGTGTGTGGGTTTGTTGTGGGGCGGTCACCCCACCTACCTGTGCTGTCGGGAACTTGACAAGGCTGAAGAGCTCGTTGAGGTCGGGCACTGTCTCGGTGACCAGGATGCCCAGCACCCCGATGAAGATGCCCACGCCGTAGAGCATCAGCTTGTTGTCGAAGAAAGGCAGCATGAACGGCGCACCCTACACCACACACACGTCCACGACACACAGATAGCACCCTTCTATCTATCCACAGAGAGAACCTCTCTCTGTGTGTGCGAGGCAAGTGGCTCCCTCCCGCCACACCAGACGGACGCACCTCATAGTTAGCGAGGAATGAGGAGACGTGCATTGAGGCGATGAGGAAGAAGACCACCGTGTTGGTCAGGTTGGGCGAGAACTCGCCCTCCAGGTCAGGCTTGTAGTCACTGCAGCACAACACCAACACCACAAACAATGGCCCTTTCCCCCTCTCCAAGGCCTGTCTTGTGTGTGCACTGTGTGTGGCTGGGTACATGGGTCTGAGTTCGCTGGCGGTCTTCCACCCCCATATGAGTGTGGTGAAGTGGATGGCGGCCTGCCCCACGATCGACAGCAGCACCGAGGGCGCAAACACCGACGACACGGGACGCTCGGGCGACAGCTTCTTGGACGGCTGCACACATCCATCCATCCATCCACACACACACACACACATGCCGGCCCGCCCCATTTGTTCATTTCTCTCCCTCACCGTCGCCTTAGATATGAAGAAGAAGAGGAACGACACGTAGAGGTTCTCGATGGTCGCTTGCCTGCCACACACACATTCACGACACAGAGGCTCTGTTTGTGTGTGTGTTGGGAGGGGGGAGGGGGGTACTGACGCGTCGCCCAGCTTGACGCCGTCGAGGGTGAGGACCGACAGCCCGAACGCCGTGATGAGCGAGTTGAGTGCCAGGATCTTGTACAGCTGCACAACCGCCGCCAACGTCGCACGACCCCCACGCAATATCACCGTCACTGCACAACAACAACACATCCCCCACACACACATTGGTCGAAAGACGGTTGTATCGAGCTGTCCACCCACACGCACCACATCTGATGTTGTCGCCCTTGTAAGTGAAAGGCGAAGCCGCCGAGGCATCGCCGAGCCTGACGATGGGCGGGCCGTCCCTCTCCTGTTCCTGTAGCTGCTGCAGCAGCTTGGGCGGCAGCTTGTTGGGCGGCATCCTGTTGAAGGGCGGGGGCAGCGTCGCGGGGGGCGCCTTCGGACGGGCCACGATCACCGGCGAGCTCAGCAGCGACACACCGACGTGTGCGGCTTTGAGTGCGCCGACGTCATTGGTCCCGTCGCCACACATGAGGGTGATGCGGCCCATGGAGTTCAGGGAGACGATCACCTGCTCCTGCACAGACACACATGGACACATCGCATCCACACATGAGTGCGTCCATCTGTGTCTGTCTGTCTGTTTGTCTGTGTGTGCGTGTGCATGCCTTTTGCTGCGGCGAGACGCGGGCAAAGACACACACGTGGGGGATCACCACGGAGGCGTCCTTGTCCTGAGGCGGCAAGATATACACCACACACACGCATACGGCGTCCTCCGCCACCCCTTGCCCACCCACCTTGAGCAGCCTGAGCATCGGCCCGGGCATGCACAAGTCGTATGTCCGCGCAAGCTGACGCACGCTCCGACCGCTGAAACACACACACACACACACCCCATGCAGGACACACAGACATCCCTCCTTCCTATTCAGTCAGCTCCGTCCCCTACTCGAGCAGCAGGGGCATCTTGACGGTCCCATCCCGGCTCCGCCACTCGAGCATGGCCTCGTTGTCCTGCCGCGGCCGCCCCACGGGCACAGACACGGCCGCATCGCCGTCGAGAGTCTCCGCACTGGAGGTCTTCATCCGGGCAGCAGCAGCAGCAGCCGTTGACTCGTCCGGACGGCCATTCAGCTCCTGCAATGGATCGACCAACCGACAGACAGACAGCAATTGGTGGGAGGGAGGCTCTGAGGGTATGTTGTGGTGTGTACCTTACTGACCTCTTTTGGCGAGAGGATGAGGACGGTTTTGTTGGCGATGTTGAGGTCGAGTGCGACTTGGCATGCCGTGAGGGGGTTGTCGCCGGTGATCATCATCAGCGAGTGGTACGACTTGCGCAGGTCCCCTATCGCCCGCTCCGTGTACCGCTTCACGGGACATCCCAACACCAGAAAACCTGATTGACGCATTTTAGGTGACACACAAACAATGGTCTCTCTCTCTCTCTCTCTGTGCGCTGTGTGTGTGTGTTCCGACCGGCAAAGACAAGGCCTGATTCGATTGCCTTGCGGTCCATGTGTCGGTAGCCGCCTTCCACCTCGCTGCTGTCGATCCACTTGGCAGCCATGCACAGAATGCGATACCCTGATGGGCAGACAGACGGGGTGGTCATCGAGTGTCTGTCTCTGCCTGCGTCCTTGTCTGTCTGACGTTACCCTGCATGGAGTAGGACTTGTGCAGCGTGTCGTAGTCGTGCGGCACCTTGCGCAGCATCCCACGCAACCGCTCGGCCGACCCCTTCACCAACACTGACACACACAGACACAGACACACCACAACCAACCAAGATACACACCGAGATGGTGTGTGCCTTGTTGTCCCTACCGAGTAGCGCCTGTGTGTTGGGTTTTGGCTGGAGGTCGTCTTCTGCCGTGACCACTGCCTGTGAGGCGGTGCCTGACCAGCCCTCGAGGTTGCCCTCGTGTTTGGCCACCACCGTCATGCGCTGATTCTCAGACAGAAACGGCCACCTGCACACAGACAGACGGAGAGAGAGAGGGAAAGGCAGTGTGGTGGGTATCCACTCACTCCACCCATTCATTTCACTTACTCACCTGTGCACGATGGTGAGTCGGTCTTTCCTCTTGGATGTCACCACATCAACTGAGCCACACCACACCACACACCACCACACCCACACACCCAGACATACATCAATCACCAGACACACCCCTCCCTCCCTCCCTCCCTCCCCTGATACCACACGCACCAGAGTTCATGTGCCACTGGACACACGTGAGGGCGGCCTTCTCCATAGGGTCGCCCACCAGCTGCTCCTCCACAGTCGCCAGGCTCGTGCACCCAGCCATCACTGCAGTCGTCATGAACGGCAGACACTGCTCCAGCGGACCCTGGTGGTCATTCTCATCCTCCCCCTTGCCCCCTTGCCCTTGCCCTGATGCTGCTGACGGGGCCTTGGTCGATGCCGTCGAAGTCGACCTGGTGGTGGGGCGGGCGCGAGATGGGGGCAGTGGGGGAGGGCGGGCCGATCTGACTGCAGGAGGAGACACACACACAAATGGAAGCGTGGATATGGTTAGTTCCTGTCTTACCAGTTTCGTCATGTCCGGCCCCGGCCCTGTCCATGAGCTGCCCGTCGGACGCACGCCGCCTCCTCCTCACGCCATTGGTCGTCGCAGCGCTCTCTTCGCCATCGTCGCGGTCGTCGTCCTCACCGCCACCACCCTCTCTCCCTGTCGGTGCTGTCGGCTTCTGGGTGCTGGCGGAGGTCTTGTTGGATGTCTGGGGTGGTTTGTCGGGTGGATGTGGTTTGAATTTGGGGTTGGACAGGCCGTAGACGCCGTCGACGTGCATCTTGTCTGACGTCAGAGTGCCCGTCTTGTCGAACGCACAGACGTCCACCTTGCCTGCGGACACACACACACACCACAACAGAGAGAGGTCCCTTACTGGGTGAGTGTGTGTGTGTTGGATGGCCCGCTGACCAGCGAATGGGACTCTGAATGGCTCTGTGCAGTAGATTTGTCGCTGCACGAAGGCCACGAGGGAGAGCGTCACGGCCAGCGAGAGGGTGATCTGACACACATGACACACGACACAACACACCATTCATTCATCGGTGCACACGCAACGCGCTGGTGTCTCTGCACATACGTGCCCAGCTCACTCACTCCCTCACCGGGAATTCTGGCGGCACGACAGAGGTGATGATGTGCGAACAGGACAAAAAGAGCTTGAACCTTCACACACACCACACACCACACACAGGACCATACACACAAGAGCCTCCACCCATTGATGGGATGGATGTGTCCCTGTGTGTGTGTGTGTGTGTGTGTGGTGCTCACCTGCCCCTGTCTCCCTCCTCCAGCCCCTTGACGAGCACATAGCCGGCCGCCGCCACGGCACACACGAGCAAAATCAGCAGGAACATGATCGCCTCCAAACTCGCTAGCGTCACACGCTCGGACGAAAACAGTATCGTCCGAACCAACTTGCTGCCATCCAGACACACACACACACACAGATGGATGGTGTGGTGGGTGATGGCGTTGGTGTTGGTGTGGGTGTGTGGTGCCGATGGTTGACGGACGGACCCTTGTGTGGTGTTGAATCCTGTGCGGAGGACGTACGCCAGACAGGCGCCCCGGGGCATCTTCTTGCAGTAGGGCTCAGAACCCTGATGATATGGATGGATGGTGTTGTGTTGCGTTGTGTTGTGTTGTGTGTGCGTACCTTCTCTTCGTTCTTGTGCATGACGACCTTGGTGCCTGTCCGACAGCGAAACGAACGAGCCGTGCTGACCGATCGAACGCTGCTGTGTGTGTGTATACCGACCAGAGAAGAGCACAAACTGCTTGTGCCGGTGCTTGACGTCCAGCCGCTCCGACACCTACCGACAAGCAGAGCAGATGGACGAGGGGAGCGACTCGCCTTACGTGGCGAGTGCATGCCGGCGTGTGTACGGTACGCACCTGGTCGTCCTGGTCGTCAGGCTTCTCGATGGCGACCTTCATCTGCGGCACCGACTCGCCCGTCAGCATGGCCTCGTTCATCACAACAGTGCCTACACACACACACACACACACACATCCACACCAAGGGCGTGTGTGCGTGCGTCCTCAGCCAGCGAGCGGCGAGCTTGCCTTGCAGCAGGAGGGCGTCGCACGGACAGGTCGATGCATCGGGGTCCGACGAGCGACTGATGGCTATGATGTCGCCTGTGTGGGTCAATCAATGAATGCACACACACACACACACACACACAACACACAGCCCGACAAGCATGCACACGGGCCACCGGGGTCATTGTGCTGCTCGATCGCTCATCGACCCACCGGGCAGGAGATCGTCCGACTTGACCTTGACCCACTCGCCCTCTGCACACACACACACCCGCACGTTGTCTGGCTGCCGTATCCTTCTGTGCGTCCGTACGTCTGTATGCGTTGACATTGATCGACTTGAGCCGCATGCTCTTGAGCTCCTCCAAGTCCTTCCGACGCTGCACACACACACACCCACACACATGATAGGCGTGGTGCTCGTCTCTCTCTCTCTCTCTCTCTCTCTCTCACTCTGTGTGTGTGTGTGGGCGTACCCTATTGACGAGCTGCGCTTCCAGGAAGATGAGCATGACCAATGTCATCAGACTGTAGTACCTGAGAAGATGACCGACGGATGAGATGAAAGGAGTGACACAGACAGACAGACAGACACAGAGACGTCCACACACACTCTCCCTCTC